TTTTAAAGCTGTATCTAAATTCTAATCCTCAGTTCTGTGGATATGACATTACTTGGACAAAGGATCTTTGGAGATGTAATTAATTTACTGATCCTGGAATGAAAGCATCCTGGATTTAGTGTGGACCCAAGATTCAGTGACAAGTGTCCTTATAAAAAGAGGAAAAGACTCAGAAACTGAAGGAAGGGAGGCCATGTGAAGATGGAGGCAGAGATTGGAGTGATGCATCTTCAGACCAAGAAATGCCAAAGACTGCCACAGCCACCAGGGGCTAGGAGAATGGTATGGAATGGACTTTCCCTCAGAGGAAAGGCGTCAGAAGGAACTAATCCTGCAACACTAAATTTGTTTGGGTGTTTCACACCCAGAAATGTGAAAGAATAAATTTCTGTAATCTTAAGCCCCCAAGTTTGTATAAATTAGTTATGGCAGCCCTAGGACAATAATACAACCCCTTGCCCAACCCTTAAAGTTCTTCCCAGTCTGAGTGTGGCCTGTCCTTCTGAAGTTCTCTCTTACTACCCTCCTTTGCTACTGTCCCTCTTCCACATATTGACAGTCTCTTGATCATGCAGGGATTTGTTGTACATTTTGCCTTTTCCAATGTGATCGATCTCTTTCCCTTCTCTAAAACTCATCATGTCTCCTGTACTTTTTCAAATCCTAATCATGAAATGGAAGGTCTACACTAGTCCATGGTGATTTCTCTCATGTTCTAAATTCTTGTAACGCACATTTGACATTGAATCATGTTTTGCCCAAACAGCACTTGTTTCACTTTTCACATATGTGTGTATCTCCTTGAGGGTGGGAGGTTTTAGTAACATAGAAAATGTTGAATAAATAAAAGATGTGCAAAAATACCAATAGAGAATCCCCGTGTTAAGGGACTGAATTGTGTTCTCCAAAAGATATATGTCGAAGCTCTGACCCCCAGTACCTTAGAATGTGACTACATTTGGATATAGGGCTTTTAAAGAGGTAACTGAGGTTAAATGAGGTGAAATGAGTGTGTTCTAACCCAATATGACTGATATCCTTTAAGAAGAAATTTGGACACTAGGTATTCAAGTGCACAGAGGGACAACCATGTGAAGAGGCAGTAAGAAGGTGGCCTTCTGCAAGCCAAAGAGAGAGTTCTGGAATAGATATTTCCCATAGAGCCCTCAGAGAAAACCAGGCCTGCTGGCATCTTGATCTTGAACTTCTGGCCTCCAGAACTGTGAGAAAATAAATTTTCATTGTTTAAGCCACTCAGTTTGTGGTATTTTGCTATGGCAGCTGTTGCAGAAAAATACAGTAGGTAAAAAGCTAAGACTAAAAGCTATGAAAAATTAGCACCTGAAAGGGAAAATAAAAAAGATGAACATTGCTGACATTCTTCTCTCAAGTGCCAGTCCTGTTCCTAAAATGGCACACAGCCTAACAAAGCCCTTAGTAAAGCCCAGAGACTTCTGGGTTTATTATGAAAACAATATCACTTTATTTTTTATTTTTTTATTTTTTTATTTATTTCTAGGAGAGAGAGAGAGAGACAGCGTGAGCAGGGGAGGGTCAGAGAGAGAGGGAGTCACAGACTGAAACAGGCTCCAGGCTCTGAGCTGGCCGTCAGCACAGAGCCCGACGCGGGGCTCGAACCCACGAACCGCGAGATCATGACCTAAGCGAAAGTCGGACGCTTAACCGACTAAGCCACCCAGGCGCCCCAACAATATCACTTTAGTATGAAATTCAAAGAGAGCTGAGAATGGAACTGGCACCTGGCCTCCACCACTCTTCACCCTCTTCTAGAATGATATTACTGCCTAACTTATAGTTAGGAAGTTACTTGACAGTCTCATTAGTTATCATGGTGTTTAAGCCTAGGCATTTACTGGGATTTATTGTAAGGGGATAAGGATTAGTGGATCCACTGAGTCCACTGGTAGAGATCAGGACAATACTGGTATCTTAACATATCCTATCCTATCCTATCTTATCTTATCTACTGGAAATGATTCCATAGTATTTAAACTAAATTTGGAATTTTGAGCTCCCTACTGGGAAGTAATTTTAGAGGCTCATTGACTGAATGTAGTATGTCCAAAGGATGGCATTTGGAATGGGGAGGACCCTAAATACTGAGGCACCGGAGAGTGGTTGAAGTATGTGATATTTGGTCAGAAGTATACAGAGGGCTTCCTGTTGGATGAGGGTATCAGCTTTTCCTCCATGACTTTTAAGGTAAAGGCTTGGACTGTTAGGTGGACCTTGCAGAATGCTGATTTCATTTCACCACAAAAACTTCCACTGCATTGTCTAATCCCCTGGTCCTCTAAAGACCATAGGTAATGAGTTGTAGGGGACCACTGAATGCCATGTGGCTTAGTGGTTAAGAATGTTTTGGAGTCCAAGCTTTACCTCTTATCAACCATGTGACCTCGTCTATGTACTTAATTCACTTAGCTTAAGTATCCCTATCAAAATGGGATTAAAGATCATACCTCCCTCATTTGGAGTATTAGATGAAACAATGCATGTAAACTTCTGAGGAAACTGATGCCAAAAGGATGGTTTAATGTGTTTAGTCACAGAGTTCACCCATACCTGGTTTTGAGCTCTAGGCTCTGTCTGACTTCATTATATCATGTTGTTTCCCAGGTTCCTTCCAAAAAATAGAGGAGAAAACAAGATATAATTGGGAAGGCGGAGAGGAGTGGGTTGAAAAAGAAAGGAGTTGGTCTCTTTCTGTGACCAACTAGGTTGCCAGAGTTGACAAAATGGTCATAATCAGTGAAGTTATGTGTCTGTTTAAACACTGAAAGAAGCAATTTCTTCTCCTTTGCCCCCAGTCCTCACCTCCTCTGCCTCCTTTCATTTCCACTCTCCAGCCCCTAGCAGGCAGGTAGGGTGGTCTTCACTGAAATGTCTCTGATGGAGCTATTTCTTACCCATTCTTTGCCCTCTTCTATCACTTACATCCATTGTTTTTGAAAGCTGACCCTGACTAAACTCATTATAACATTAAAAATTTATTAAACTCAGGTGTGTCTGGGTGACTCATTTGGTCAAGTGCCCAACTCTTATTTTGACTCAGGTAATGATCTCATGGTTAATGAGATCCAGCCTCATGTTGGGCTCTGTGCTGACAGTGCAGAATCTGTTTGGGATTCTCTCTCTCCCTCTCTCTCTGCCCCTTCCCCACTCACACTCTCTCTCACAAAATAAATAAACTTAAAAAATATTATAAAAATATTAAACTCAGGATTTAGTTCTGTTTCATATCATAAAATATGATAATTAAGAAGCAAACAAGAGTAAAAGAGCAAGTAAGGCTGGATTTGAAGCAGGTCATGCTCAGAAAGGCCTCTGGGGATAATTTACAACCATGACCCCTTAAATATCTCTCAATGATAATCCATTCTGAGATGGATGAATCTTGAATTCTGTAAAAATGTATTAAGCACCTGGTAAGCTCGGTAATCCTGATAATATGTATGATAATAAGCCGTCTGGTTGACACCTACTAAGTAAACTTGTGTCTAGGAGAGGCTGGAAAGAATATGAGGTGTTTAATTGGGGATGCTTGTCATCACTAATGAACAACAAGAAATAGTTTGAAAAGTTCCTTGAGATATTCACTTTAAAATGCCACCAAAACTTCAGAAAAGAACAGTCTTTAAGGTAAAGCTACTGTGGATTAAGAATGGCTCCATTCCAATGTATGCTTTACGTACATTATATTATTTGGTCCTCACAAATCGTTGACATTATAATCCCTATTTTACAGATTAGAAAATTAGGTACAGGGAGGTTCAGTAATATTCTCAAGATCACATAGTACCATATATCTAAAAATCTGTTGTATACACTTTTTCTTAAAGTCATATTTTCCTCTACCCAAATTATGAAAGACCATAGAAGGAATTGAAGACAGGCATCACAATATATGGGTTTATTTTCCCATAACAATTATCTTTGCTCTTATTCTTCTTGCCCAAACTGTAAAATATCATTTTGGGTACAATTAATATTACACAGACTTATTTTTAAATGTGCTCTACTTTTTTAGTAAAATTAGAAGAAACCCCAATTTTCAAAGAGGTGTGAGTGCATTAAGAAAAGATCCACCACGTGATTTTAGATATGGATGCTAATTCCTAAACATTGGTTATCATTTCTTAACTCAAGTGCTTAGAATGTTTAAAATGCTACATATTCATGTGGATTTCTCAAGGATCTTGTAAGATATGCTTTTTGTGCATATTTAAGCTTATATATATGTTTTAGATTACATGAATACTGAGAAGAGTATACATACAGTATGATATTTACATATTTCTTTCTTTTTTTTGAGAGAGAGAACCTAACCCTCACAATTATTAAATGTACATAAAATCTAAATAGCAAATATAACATATTGGTACAGGTCTGACTACTCATTTGGAATAGCTGTTCTTTGCTTTTATGATATTGGAAAAGAGAAGAGTTAGTAAAGAAATACAAGCGTTCCTCAAGCCCCCCTTCCCTAAAACACATTCCATCCAATCTCCTGAACCGGCTGGAATATCCGTCTCTACCCCCACCCCACCATCCTCTCAATGCAGTGGGAAAGTCGGTGGGTAATTGGGTCCAGATTGGAGATGTTTAAATATTCATGAGGCTGGCAGGGGACTGGGAGGGGGTGACTGTCTGGAAGGGGGGTGGGGGCTGGGGAAGTGATTAGTCATTGAAAGCTAGTGAACAATTCTGAGAAAGAGAAAGGGAAGAAAAAGACAGATAGACGGGGGAAAGGGGAGAAAAGGGGAAGAGAGGGCCGAGGAGAGAGCCGGAGAGGGAGAGGGAGAGAGCCAGCGAGCATGTGCGCTGAGCAGTAGCTGTGGACCTTACAGTTGCTGCTAACTGCCCTGGTGTGTGTGAGGGAGAGAGAGAGAGAGAGGGAGGGAGGGAGGGAGAGGGAGAGCGCGCTAGCGCGAGAGAGCGAGTGAGCAAGCGAGCAGAAAAGAGGTGGAGAGGGGGGGAATAAGAAAGAGAGAGGAGGAAGGAGAGAAGGCAGGAAGAAGGCAAGGGACGATACAACCATGCTGTGCTGTATGAGAAGAACCAAACAGGTAGAGCTAAAGATTTTTACTTCTTGCTGTTGTGAAATTACCAGACTGCAATATTTCCCTGTAAAGGCAGGAAAAAAAATATTTTAACTGCTTCTGCTCTGGCCATGGTGCCAGAGTTTCCTTAGCATATGGTAACTGATGGTTGCATCCCAGCTTTTATTCCATTCTGTCTTTCATGCTCTGGTCTGGGAACGCTGCTACTAATTAGGATGAGGTTAGAAAAAAGATGCCTGTTTGGCTAGAAATAAGATTTTCCGGGCTCTTAGTGAATGTTCAGCGTTTTAGGTCTTTGGTTTTGCGGGTGTGGATATAGAGAGGGGTGTGGGGAGAAGATGTGGACTCTACCTACAAGATGCGGAGGCAATTCTTTAAATTATTTGCAAAAAGCAGGGTTGAAGGAATAATATCCAGTAATAAGTGTTGCTTGTTCTGTCGTACAATTTTCTCACATGTGCTGCGGAAGAAGCCTTATTTCGTCCATGCATGAGCTTCAATTGGGCGCAGGTATTAATGGAAAAACATGGGAGGGATTTATTTATTTATTTTTCAATGAATGAATGAAACTGTGATTTGAAAGATTTTTTTTTTTTTAAAAGAGAATCTAGAGACAACTGGGGCTGTGGGAGAAATTGGCGGTGTGGAAGGGGAAAATCCCCTTCCCAAGATCGGTAGCCGATTGTGCACCAGCTGGTCGGAGGAGAGGGTGGACCACGCCCCTAGGAGCTTTGGGCTCCGATGGGATGGGAAAGACGAGCCGAGTATTACCTGTTGGAAATCAGGTCTTTTCCCTTCTCCCTTTCGTTGCATCTTTCCTGGAATCGTCAGTGACACGAGACGGGCTAACATTTTGGATAATAAGCATGGTGACTCGTTTTCATCAGGAAGAGGGACACATAGGGGATTTGCGAGAATCCAAGTCCCCTCCTTTTCTCCCCCACTACCCAGGTTTCTCTTCAATTGCAAATTGCTCACTTATTTCTTGAAAGACATTTTAGAAACTTGATTGGGCTGAGGGTGGGGAGGAATGACGAGTTCTGTATTCTGCAGCAACCGGCAGTGTCCTGGCATTCTTCAAACGAAGCTTTCAAACATTTATTGGAACGTGTTTGAGAGATTTTGGCGAAGGTGAAAGAGAAAAAAATGGGTGTGAGATGTGGGGGAGTGTGTGTGTGTGTGTGTGTGAGTGTGCGTGTGCGTGTGTGTGCGCGCGCGCGTGTGTGTGCATACTCGTGGGAAGGGAGGCCGTCTTGGTCAAAAAAGCCCTTTGCAGGTTGATTGCCTTAGGGGTGGGGTGCAAGAGATAGGATTTAGGCATTATTCCTGTACAGGTATTGGATATTGGGCAATTTGTAATACACTCGCTGAATCCGAAGGGGGTGGAGGGGTGTGGAGAGGAAACAGCCTGCCAGCTTTGCACATTTAGCCATCGCCCTATGAGGATGGAGAAGGAGGAGGGAGGGGAAGGGAAACAGAATATCAGATCAGTGGGTGCAGAGGGTGGAGAGGAATGGGGAAAATAAATAAGTTTAAATAAATAAATAAATAAATAAATAAATGTAGCAGGCACCCCAGGGATTTTGTGTGTGGTTTGTATGTATAGGGGTGTTTGAAGAAGAGCATGAGAGTCTTACAGGCAACCCTTTCCTAAAATGTTCTCTGGTTCTAGAGACTGATGCTTCCATTGGCTCATTTCTCAAACCAGGACATTTCCTTTCTTGTCTTCCTTCATTCTAATACATAAATGCAATAGATACAGGTGGCTGGGTTAAGCACACTATCAAGGAAACGTTCTGAGGTTACCCCACTGGTGAGCTGAGGAAATAAAATTTAGGAAGGCGGAGCCCTAAGGAAGCCAATGCTATTCATTAAAAAAGCTTTAATTTTGGATAGAAAAATATGCTGGTTTACAACTTTTTGCCACCGTATGTATCACATACAAGTATATACACATCCCCTTTGACAAAGGAAACCAAGCATAATTTTAGAAAGGGAATTAAGCTGAAAGAATTCCCTTCCCAAAAAGGGGACAGCTGCTTTTACTTGGGTTCTATCTCACTAACAGCCCCAAGTATTCACAGGGATGTGCAGTGATAAAGCTGAAATTGTGTTCAGGGAGTTTTAGAAATTCACATGTAAATGCGTGTCGCATCCGCATTCTCCATGTACAACAGTCACGCATGTACTCTGTATAGATTCCACATGCCCGCGTGTGTTTTAGCATAATTCATATTCAAGAGAGAAAATGAAAGGTATGGATATTGTTGTATTAACCCATGCATTTCATATGTGTGTACTTCTGTGTGAAATGGTCATGTGCCCTATTGAGTACTGTTGTGTATCATTCACGTAAGTCAGTATTTAGGGTACCATTAAATCAGACAGAAGGAAATGGTGTATTCAGGGCGTGGGCTCCATACTACATTGACTGGCATTTATATAGCGTGAGTACTTAAGTCTCACACAGGTTTCCTGCTTGTGGGTGAAATGATCCTGTATCATTCAAGGCAGAACCCGATTGTGTTTATCTTCTGCCATCTATTCATCATGCTTGTCCTTAACAGGGAATAAAACAAGGGCAAAAACCTGCAAAGGTCTAAACTCTGCCACACCCATGAAATCCAGCAGAAACGTGGGAGGGGGCTGGAGGGATTGCACTTCCTTCCTCTTCCACTTGAGCTGCATAAAGAAGCAATCTTGGATTTCTGAGTTGTAATACGTGGCCAGTGGGTGAGAGGAAAGCGTAAATGATCTTTATTAGCCATTAATTACCCCTCTGGAATATTAGAGCAGGAAGAAGAGAATGGGAATGGGGTGGCAAAGGGAAGAGGGTAAAGGAGGGGGCAGAGGAAGAATAAAATAAAAGAATCCCGGAGATTGTATTGGTTTGTGATTTTCAAATATCTTGGGGCTAACTTTAAATAGCTTAATTACCATGCGTATTGCAGATGATGAAAAACTTGCAAGATGGGATCTGAGTCCACAAAGCCAGAGAACTGAGGTGTTTCCTTTGTTTAAAAATAAGGATTTTAAATTGTAATCTAAGTGTAAAGAATACCGGTGCAAGCAAGCCTCCCCTCCGTCCCCCACCCCTCAACCCCACCAACATCTGCTTTTTTCCTCGTAAAACAATTCTTATCTGAGAGGGTGTGAGCTGTGGTTTGGAATTCCAGCCTCACTGCGCCTTTCCCTTGCAGTGCTGGAAAGGTGTGGAAGGATACCGCCTTGCCTTGCCGCTTGGTGCAGACGCTTCCTCCTAGTGATAAATTGGATTCCTCCTAAATCTCACTGAGCCACACCCAGTGTCAACCAGGGACTAAGTGAATTAATTAAATGGAGGCATTCTACTTAATATAATTGAAACTTTTTTTTAATGGTGATTTCTATTACACATTTCCAAATTTAAACAAGAAGAAATCATTTAAGGGCATTTTTTTTTCCTGCCAAATTATCTGGACTTGCAGGGAACCTTAGAAAATTCATGGTAAATCTAGAAATGAGTTCATATCTCATTCCTTCTAGCCCATGATTAGGGTGCATTCACAAGGAGTCCTGCATTCTTACGCTGTCAGCCTGTAACTCAGGTCCCCCCCTCCACACCCATGCTGAGGCAATTGGGATAAGAAAATGTAGGGTTAATTTTCTCTTGCTGAGTTGGCAAAACTACGGAAACCTCTTCTCATGTTTTATTTGAAAGGGCAGAGCTCCTGTTCATTTAGAGGGAGAGTGGTTTAGGGTCTCCTTTGCCTCCGTCATGGTGAAATTGTCAGTGTTGTGCCTGGGGCTGATTAATCCACATCCTTCTGTTTTACCTGGCCTCATAAAGAAGAGGGGGTTTCTTTCAGTCAACAGTCGAGCATATATATTAGCCAAATGTTCCCCTTGTTCTCATTTATAGAGCAAGACATGTCTAAAATCTTCCTCTAATATTAAAGGAACATTTCAGATGAAGTACATAGCAGGTCATCTCAAGGGAAGATACAGCATTTAATTATTCACTTCCCTATTAGGTATCATAGAAGCATTCAGGCAACCAAGCGTGTCTATTATTGATCAAAAAAAGTGATTATGGGCAATTCTCCCTTTTGAAGTGTGGTCAGGTTGTCTCTGCACCATTGTATTGAAGTCTGCTTAACATTCTTTGAGGTGTTGGGAAGAGCACTGTGCTGAGAGTCCTCAGTGTATGCCACTTACTGATTCTGTGATCTTGAATGAATCACATAATATTGGGCTTCAGTTTCCTCCTATGAGATGGAGTCTAAAAACCAAATATAAAACCAAACTAACAAAACCCTCAACTTCCTGACCCTAAGGAGTATCTGTAGGGATTAAACCAAACTCACATGAAGACAAAATCGATACAAAAGTGAGAAAATTTTCTCTCCAAGTTTTGCGATGTTGAGTCTTGGTTTGGAATTCCCAGTTTGTCAGGATTGCTGTGTGCCTGTTTTTAACAAACAGTTCCTTTTGGTCATGGATGATTCCTCTTCTTCATCACTCTTCATTTCTTATTCCATTTACTTTAATAAAGCTTCTGTTCTCATATTCTGAAAAAGACATCACAAACAGTGACTCTTTGGTTTCCATCTTACTTGATATCTCTTTGGTATTTTGGATTGTGGTCCCTTCCTCTTCCTGAAATTCCTCACTTTTCTCCCATGGTAGCTACCCTGGCTCTCCTCCTTCCTAGATAAGTTTTTTCTCAGTCTTCCTTGCTGGCTTTTTCACTCTCTTCCCCCCAAATATCAATTATCTTCTGGTTAATGATCTTGATCCAATAGTTGGCATCCATCGACACACTAATCGACACATCCATCAATCACATTAGATGATGTCATCCATGTTGGGAGTTTTAACCACTGGGTGATTTTCAAATCTGTAGACTATAGATACCTTTCCTTAGCACCTAATCCATGCATATCACTAGGTCTAGGTATTTCCAAGACATCCGCAAAAATGTACAAAACCAGACAGAGTATCTTCTGTGTGGTACCACTTAGTCT